ACCTATCCAGGTCTTGTTGCAGTCTTTCTCTCCCTACTAGCATGCTCACCTCACCCCAAATTTGATAATATTTGATAGTATTTGATAATAGTCTTCAAATACCTTAAGGCACATTATAGAGAGGATGGAGATGGCCTTTTCTCTGTGGACATAAGGGAGCAATGGTCTCAAGCTGTAGCAGAGGAAATTGAGGTTGGAGATCAGCAGGAACTTTCTGACTATGAGGGCAGTCAAGTATTGGAACAGGCTACCTACAGAAATTGTGGAATCTTTATCTTCGGAAGTTTTCAAGAGCAGGCTAGACAGAGACACTTGGCTGGGATGTTTTAATCAAGAATGATCTTGCTTAGAGCAGGGGGCTAAATTACATGACCAAGTGAGGTCCCTTCCAGCCTTACTTTACTATGATCCTAATAAGATATAAATTCCAGTTGTTGAGCCTGCCCAAGTTAGTAGTCCCTGAAAGTCACTGCCATTTGACAGCTCTGTTGTCCTGTGTAACATGAATTTATGAGCTCAGTTGAGGTCCTGGCAGAATGATGTCTATATCACAAAACCCATCACCAAAGATTACCTTTCTAAGTTAAAGATGGAAGCTGAGGATTGAACACACATGGAGACTGACCTGTCCTTTCACCATAGAAAATGTTGAATTGAAACGGATGTAAAATGAATAAAATCATCACTGCAATATATTTTATTAAAACTTAAATCATCTATGTTTGTAGGTCATGTTGTACAAAAATCAATGGAAGTATAAGTGAATGGTTTCATAGACTGATGTAGTGCTATAATAAATTCTTTCATTTCTAGATCCTTAGTTCAAATTCTATACAGGGTACTAGAGACCAAAATTAGTTACCATCTGAAGGCTGATTGAGATCCCACAGGAAATGATTTTGTGTGTCTGTCCAATTCTCCAGGTCACAAAATATGACAAAGTTCACACTAATTGTCAAGCTGATAGTCTCATCAAGGAGGCCAAGCATTGAAGTATACGTACAATGGACTAAAGTATCATCCCTAGAGGTGGACCTACCAAGTCAAGATTTAGACATTGAGGGGGAACAGTGTCAGGAAACTTATACTACTACAGTTGTACCTGCTCAGTAGATGCAAAAAGGTCTTCACTCTGTCAGTGTGCCATTTTCTCATACTAAGTTTTCACATTGAAAGAAACACAATGGGACTGTGGCCAGAATTACTGTATCTCGTTTGTTCTGTACTGCTGCCATGAACTCCCTTGCAATCTTCGTTATGTCTGGAATTTAAACTTCTTTATAGTTACTTCATATGAAGTGATTGCTGTAAATTTTTCCTTCAGGTCTTGACCATTATCGCCCTGAGGTTTTTGAACACAGTAAAAAGCTACTGCTCCACCTTTTGATTGCATTGTCTTGCAACAGCAATTATCAAGCCATTGCCTCAGTGCTTCTTCAGACAAGAGAGATGAATGAAACCAAAACTCTGACAGTCCAACCAGCATATCTACCTGAATACCTCTATACAGGTAATAAAGTGCAATAGGATAATACATTACATTGTATTTCAAAGGTTTGACTAATGGAATGGAAAGGTTTGGTTGTTTGAAATACTGTAAAGTTTTGAATAAGTACGGTATTTACTCAAATATAAGATCACCCTGACTATTGACAACCCCCCAAGGATTAGATTCTATAAATGGAAACTTATAAATTTGTTATAATTTTCCAGATAAACAATCTAATTATTGGAGGTTTGCCTTTAATTTGCCCCCCTCCCACTGCCACAGCAGGGCAAATAAATCTGAAGCATCAGGTAGCCTCTTTGCCCTCTGTCCCCACAACTTTTTCCTCTGGACACCCTTCCTCCCCTTCCTTACTGTCAAACCCTGCTCTCCCTGAGCACCTGGAAGTGAGGAACAAATTTGAAAACACTAAACTTGAAATAAATACATCTATAGTGATTTGCATATAGTTCATCCAGAATTGATGCATTTTACCTTTTTGAAACTGCTGCAAATTTTAGCATAGGTACTCCATAAACTCCATAAGCAGCACTTCTGTACCTAGTGTGATAAGCCAAAAGGCGTATCATTTAACATGTAGTTCATTGGGCTGGGCCCTATCAGAATCAACAGCATTTCAAACCATGGTGACCCCTTAGCTCAGCACTGCTCAGTATGTGTGTGGACTCCAGATACTCCCTCAAATAATCCATGTACTAATTAACCCCCAACTCATGACATGAACCTGGTCCAGCTCCACCACATGGAAGGATGGGGCCACACTAATCATATACAACAGGCTGAGGGGTGGAAGGGGGGAGCAACAGAGAGATTCTAGGTGAATTGTTTGGGGTCCCATATGGTGATGTTTGCCAGACATATGAAGAAACAGGGATCTTGTAAATGGGAAAGAAAAGCATAGCTCAGCTGTGGGAGTGAAGAAGAAGTAAAAATGTATATAGTGTGGTGGCTCACCATGACTTGTGAAAGAGCACTGCACTTACCATATGTCTTAGTCAGAGGGGCTACACTAATGTAGTCTTGTGGTAGATTCCCATCCACATCTCGGTCTTTTGGCTAAGATTGAGCATTGCTGGCTCCAAGGGGTGGGTATCAGTGCTGGCTCTGGCCCTTGCGGTGCCAGCCTAGTACTGCAGTACCTCCAGGCCTGGTGCCAGTTACCTGTGGAGGGAACACCCACCCATTTTTTAGAGCCAAAAAAAAATTGTTCCTATCAGCTTGTTTGCCCAAATTGGGTTATATGTTTTATAGTGATGCTCAGTGTCAGCTGCATTTAATCAACTTCATAGTTGTTTTCCATTACTGAGCACATGCTGTTTTTGCCGAAGTTTAATGATAGACAGTGTATTTTTTCAGATTACCTTGTATGTAAGTGTAAGACAAGCGGCTTTTTTCCCTATGGTGATGGGGGGCAAACCTCATCTTGTATTTGAGTAAATATAGTTATAGGCCAGCTTATCAAAGTGGTAAAATTGTACAGCTGTCATTGACAGTAACTCCTTCAAACTACTCTGGAAAAGCATCCTAAATTATTAAAAGATACATTTTTGTTATATAGAGAAAAATGTGTTTCTATAAGACCGTGATTCTCAACCAGGATGCCAGGGTATTCTCGTGTTCTGCCAGACCCTTTGGGGGTTGCCGTGAGGTATAAGGAGATCAACAAGTAATCTAATTAGATAAATTCAGGCCCTGGCTTGTCCCTGACTGAATGATCCCCCATCCCCAATTTCCAACCACTCTGCAAAGTTTTTGAAATCACGTGCCACTCAGTTTACAAAGGTTGTGGAGGGGTGCCTTGAGTCCTCGAGTCCAAGAGCACTGCTAGAAGGCAAAAGTCTAGTATAGTTGTAGAAATGAAACTAGCCATTCCATTTCCCTGTAACTTTCCAACACACTGGGTGCATTTACACAAGATGTTTACTGTGGAACTGCCTAATTAGCTCTGCAGTAAAGTACTCAGTGTCTACACATGCAGCCCTATTAAGCTGCAGTAAACTAATTAACTATGCCATAGGTTAGTACTTGTAAACACAAGTAGTATCCTACAGCGGTGTTCTATAGCAAGCAGCAATGAATGTGTAGATGCTGATGGGGCTGGCTGGGGCACGAGGCTGCTTCAGTGCGGAGGCTGGCTGTCAGCTAGCCCTGCACTGGAGTACCCTAGTGCCCCAGCCAGTCCCTCTTCAGCACACTGAGCTAGGTCAGAGTAGTCCCAGGGCTCCCTGCCAGCTGGAGCTGCTCCAACCCAGCTCAGTGTGCTGCAGTTCCAAGCACACTTGTAAACATGGTGCCTGGGAACCATAAACTTTGGCACGATATGCGCCGGAATCTATTGTGTCACATTAATTTCATGTGTAGATGCGCCCACTGAGAAAGCGAATTCTGTTAGGTATGAGGGAAGGGGTATAAATCAGACAAACTTGAAGGATCTAATATACAGTTTCAGTACAAGAGAAAGGTATTTATGTAGTTAGGAACGTGCTACCTACCTTTGAGATTCAACTGAAACCTGATTTGAATTCAGTTAAGTTCCAATATCATGTACTCCTCTCAACACCCACTTTCTGAAAGGGATGGACATTTGTTTAGTTTTCCAAAGTTCATTTCTAATTTTAGCTTGTCTACTATGAATCCCTGCTAAGCTGATTTCTTACTATTAACTTTTTGCAAGTTGCAGGGCTTTAAGAGGTTTTGGTTGGGCAAAGTTTGATAAAAGCACCTGGCTAGTAGGGGTGTGGAAAGCCAGCCCTGTTCAATTCAGATTTAGATTTGGCCCAAATCAGGGACAGTGATTCGATTTGTTGATTTGGATCACTGTCCCTGATTCAGTTTAGCCAAATCTGAATCTAAAGATTCAATGCTGATTAAGAGAATCAGCAATTCAGACATAGACACAGCTTTAAATGGTTTTTCTACATACCTTTAGGTAGCAGGCGGCTCATGAACACTGTGATGTTGGGGCACATGGAGTGTCCCACGGAAGCATGGAGGGCTCCCCAGCGTGCTTGGCAGCAGACCCAGAAGCACTTCTGGTCCACTTCCAGGTCTGCCAGGGAGTGCACAGAAGGGCCCCCCCGCGTCCCCCTGGCTCAGTGATTGGTGCCTCCTGGGTCTGGGGGGGGCACCCGGGGTCCCCCTGTAGCCAATTGCCAAACCAGGGGGTTGCTGGGGGGCCCCAGCACACTCCCCAGCAGACCTGGAAGTGGACCAGAATTCCAGGTTTGCTGCTGAACACATGCATCACAGTGATCACGAGCTGCACTGGTACCTCAAGGTATGTAGAAAAAACTTTTAAAGCTGTGTCCATCTCCAAATCTTTCCAAATCTCTCCGAATTGATTTGGAAGCTTCTGATTCGATTTGGAGAGATTAAAGGGTCTTCTGATTCGATTTGAATTTGGAGATTCAGCTATGAAATCAGGCCAAATCTCCACCGAATCGAATCAGGGACCAAAGCTTTGGACAGTCCTACTGGCTAGATTTAAGACTTATGGAATGTCACTACACTCAAGGGGGAAGCTGGGAGTTAAGGGAGTCATGGAGTCAATTTACAGTTGTGGAGATAGAAGTAATTAAGGTCAAAGAAAAAAATAAGCTTTTGTTTGGAACAGAAGCAAGAAGTGAGAAGCAAAGAGGAATAATCCTGGCAGTTGCCATCTCATACATGCCAATTGTAGCATTAGTAAAAAAATAGTATGACTATTAAGAGAGAGGATGGTATCAGAATCAAGAGCAATAAGAAGTGCAAGTTTATAAAGAATAAAATGACCAGATAATTAATTTGTTTTGTAATCCTACCAACCACACACAGAGATACACATATATACACACAAACAGAGTGGATGAGAGGGGGAAATAATAAATTTTATTTAGAACGTAGCCATGCAAGAAAAAAGCTGGGAGGTAAGCCTACTAACATTTGAAAGTTAAAAACTATGTTAGTGTGACCATTACATAGGGTTGTAGAGACGAAATTAAGCAAGGGAAAGTCAGAGCTGAACATCAGAAAACACTCTTTGTCAAATGGTAATAAATTCTTTGTTTGGGGTATTTAAAATTAATTTAAAATGTAAAACTGGACATGTGACTAGACAATGTGGTTTGAGAAGCAGTTTTTGCAATGGATATGAACGGAATTACCTAATAGATCTCTTCTTGCTTTAACTTCCATGAAGGAAGCAAAGTAAAGAGAGAAAAAGGACAAAAAGCTATGAAAGTGTCTTGGACAAGCTTTGGATATTTTTTCCCATAATTTGTATGCTTACCTGAAAAATGTATTAAGTTTAACCATCACTAATCACTATAGTTTTGGGTTTTTTTACCTAACAGAAATGATAGAAAAAATGAAAGAATGTGGAGAAAATAATGTAAGAGTGTCTCTGCTTTGAGAGCACTCTTGAGTGCACAGTTGCAAAGCATGGCTCTATTCACATGAGCCAAACCCAGAAATGACATGGCAAAGCCACTGAGGGTATCCTTGAAGACTCCTGTGGTTTTTCCTACCCTTCATACACCCATAATGAGGCCTGTTTTGTGGCTACAATTGATTGATTAGGATTAATCACAACTACACACTCTTGCCCTGTTGTAAAATGAGAGCTAACCTATGGTAGTGTTAGGATGATGTTGTAGCCACGATGATCCAGGAAAAATGTGAAAGGCAAGGATTCTTGTGAATAATACCTTTATTGGACCAACTATATAAATGGGAGGGACATAGCCAAGCTTTCTGGTACCACAGTACCCATCCTCAGGTCTCTGCTAACCTGTTGTAGTTTACAGCTCAATGAGAGAGGATCAGCTTTCATTCACCATGGAGTGAGAACATAAACAGGGATAGTTATCACAGAGCAACTGACATGCTGTAAATGCCTGTCCTCTTTTACCTCCCAGCAACTTACATGACAGCAACCAAGGAACCAGCAACCAGGAGCTACAAACAGGGTAAACAGTTTGCAGGTCAGTTTGCTGCCCTCCACCTCCCTGCCCCTTTTGAGGGAAATGCCTAACTTCACACCTATCAGCTTGATGTGAAGAAGCAAGAAAAAAGGAACCCTGTGGGGCCAATGAGCAGTAAACAGGCCAGTTTCCAGGTGTGTTCACTAGGGAAGGTGTGTTTGGAAGGGCAGTAAGAGAGAAACAGCAGATTAAGAGACCCAGGGAAATGGCTGGAGGATGTTCCAATGCCAGAGCCACTGCCACTGCCTATTTGCACCTGTGAGGTTTCTGTCCAGGCAGGACCACTCACCAATTGAAGCTTCCACCCAGGTCTAGGTTTGGTACTCTGGGGCCTGCGGCTTGCAGGTTCCTTCCCATGATGGCCAGGTCAGAGAGTGCCTGCAGTGTGAGTGGTGCCTCTTTGTGGTATCTCTCAGGAAACAGGCAAGAGAACTTCAGGAAGAGGTGGTGAGGCTCTGAAGCATCCTCCACCATGAGGAGTTCATTGATCTGATGCCAAAGGAGATCTCTGGGACTGTGGAGGAAAAACTGCCAGAGGCAGCGCTAGAGAAGAGAGAAGATGTGGACTCCCAGGAAGGTGGAACCTGGAAGCTTGTTACCTCTGGCAGCAAGCAGGAATCTTCCTCTCTACCTGCATCACTTTGTCTGGAGAACAGATATGGAGCACTAGCAACAGAGAGGGAGGAGAATGTTCCATTGGTGCAGGAGGACAGGCCAGGCCTCACCAAGGTGAGAAGGATCATGACAACCCCCACACACAAGAAGCAACAGGTAGTGTTTGGAGACTCCCTTCTGTGGGGGATGGAGGGAACCATCTGCTGACCTGGCCTGTTATCTCAGGAAGTCTGCTGCTTGCGTGGAGCCCAGATCCAAGATGTCATAGTTAGGGGTTACTGAGACTCATCCGACCCTCTGACTATTACCCTATGCTGCTCGTCCATGTGAGCACCAATGATACTGCCAGGGGAGACTCTGAGCAGATCAAAAGTGACTACAGGGCTCTGGGTGCAAGGATGAAGAGAACTGGAACTCAGGTCATGTTCTCTTCGATACTTCCAGTCAAGGAGAAGGGCCCGGGTGCATCCTGCAGATCAATAACTGGTTGCACAGGTGGTGTTGCCAATAGGGCCTTGGCTTCTTCGACCATGGGATATTCTTCCAAGGAGAGGAATTGCTGGGAAGAGATGGGATCCACCTGATGAAGAAAGGGAAGAGTGTCTTCGCAGACAGGCTTGGTAACCTAGTGAGGAGGGCTTTAAACTAGGTTCACTGGGGGATGGAGACCAAAGCTCTGAGGTAAGTGGGAAGTGGGTGACCTGGAGGAAGAGCAAGCAGGAGGAGGCAGTAGGGGATGTGCTCTCATACTTCTTGAGAAATCAGGGCAATCAACTAGTTACCTTAGGTGCCTGTACACAAATGCACAGAGCCTGGGAAACAAGCAGGAAAAATTGGAAGTCCTTGCACAGTCATGGCACTATGACGTGACTGGAAAAACAGAGATTTGGTAGGATAGCTCACATGACTGGAGCAGTGTCATGGATGGGTACAAACTGTTCAGGAAGGACAGGCAGGGGAGAAGAGGAGGAGAAGTTGCACTTATGTAGAAGAGCCATATGATTGCTCAGAGCTCCAGTATGGAATAGACCTGTTGAAAGTCTCTGGGTTAGAGTCAAAGGAGACAACAACAAGTGTGATGTTATGGTAGGGGTCTGCTATAGACCACCAGACAAGGAGGAAGTGGTGGATGAGGCTTTCAAACAGCTAGAGGAAGTTTCCCAATCATAGGCCCTGGTTCTCATGAAGGACTTCAGTCACCCTGGCATCTGCTGGGAGGGCAATACAGCAGTGTGCAGGCAATCCAGGAAGTTTTTGGAAAGTGTTGGGGACAACTTAGAGCAAATGTTGGAATGGCCAACTAAAGAACTATGACCTGCTGCTCACAAATGGGTGAATTGGTGGGGAATGTTGTAGCGGATGGCAACTTGGGCAACAGTGACCATGAGATGATTGAGTTCAGGATCCTGAGGAAAAGAAGGAAGGAGAGCAGCAGAGTAAGGACCGTGGACTTCAGAAAAGCAGACTTCCGCTCACTCAGGGAACTCATGGGCAGGATCCCATGGGAAGTCATTCTGAGGGGGAAAGGAGTCCAAGAGACCTGGCTGTACTTTAAAGAATCCTTACTAAGACTGCAGGAACAAACCATCCCAATGTGCAGGCAGACTAGCAAGAATGGCAGAAGACCAGCTTGGCTTAGCAGGGAACTCTTCAGGAAACTAAATCACAAAAAGGAAGCTTATAAGAAGTGGAAACTTAGACAGACAACTAGGGAGGAGTATCAAGTCAGGAAGGCCAAAGTGCAATTGGAGTTGCAGCAAGCAAGGGATGTGAAGGGTAACAAAAAGGGTATTTAGAAGTATTTCAGTAGCAAGAGGAGGATCACGGAAAGGTTGAGTGCCTTATTGAATGGACAGAGGATGCAGAAAAGGCTGAAGCGCTTAATGCCTTGTTCACCTCAGTCTTCACAGGCAAGGTCACCTCCCAGACTACTGCACCTGGCAGCACAGTTTGGGGAGGAGGTGAGCAGCCAACAGTGTCAAAAAAACAGGTTAGGGACTATTTAGAAAGGCTGGACTTATACAAGTCCATGGGGCCAGATGGGATGCACCCGAGGGTGCTGAGGGAGTTGGCTGATGTGATTGCAGAGCCACTGGCATGATCTTTGAAAACTCATGGTGATCAGGAGAGGTCTGATGATTGAAAAAGGATTCCAAATGATTGAAAAAGGACAAACATAGTGCCCATATTTTTAAAAAGGGAAAAAGGAGGATCCAGGGAACTACAGACCAGCCTCACCTCAATCTCTGGAAAAATCATGGAGCAGATCCTCAGGGTCCATTTCTAAGCACTTGAAGGAGAAGGTAATTAAGAACAGTCAGCATAGATTCATCAAAGGCAAGTCATGCCTGACCAACCCAGTTGCCTTCTATGATGAGATGACTGGTTCTGTGCATGCGGGGAGACCAATGGATATGCTGTACCTTGATACAAGATTTTTGATAGAGTTTCCCACAACATTCTCATAGGCAAGCTAAGAAGTATTGGCTGGCAGAATGAATTGTAAGGTGGATAGAAAACTGGCTGGAGCATCAGGCTCAGAGGGCTTGGTGTCTAGTTGGCAGCTGGTATCAAGTGGAGTGCCTGAGAGGTCAGTCCAGGGTCCGATTTTGTTTGATGTCTTCATCAACAACCTGGAAGATGGGATAGAGTGCACCCTCAGCAAGTTTGGAGATGACACCAAGCTGGGGAGAGTAGTAGATATGCTGGAGGATAGTGCTAGGATTCAGAGAGATCTGCAAAAATTGGGAGGATTGGGCCAAAAGAAACGTTATGAGGTTCAACAAGGACAAGTGCAAAGCCCTACACTTAGGACAGAACAATCCCATGCACCAATACAAACTGGGAGCTGACTGGCAGAAAAGGACATGAGTGTTACAGTGGACAATAATCCAAATATGAGCCAGTAGTGTGTCGTTGTTGCAAACAAGACTACCGGCATACTGGGCTGTATTGGTAGGAGTGTTGCCAGCAGATCAAGGGATTGATTACTCTCCTCTATTCAGCACTGGTAAGGCCACATCTGGAGAACTGTGTTCAGTTTTGGGCCCCCACTACAGAAAGGATGTGACAAGTTGGAATCCAGCAGAGGGCAACAAAAATGGTGAGGGGGCTGGGACACACAACTTCTGAGGAGAGGCTGAGGGAACTGGGCTTACTTAGTTTAGAGAAGAGCAGACTGAAGGAGGATTTAATAGCAGTCTTCAGCTACCTAAAGGGGGCTACAAAAGAGGATGGAGCTAAACTGTTCTCAGTGATGGCAGATGGCAGAACAAGGAGCGACGGTCTCAAGTTGTGGCAAGGGAAGTTTAGGTTATATATTAGGGAAAAAAAATTTCATTAGGAGGGTAGTAAAGCACTGGAACAGGTTACCTAGAGAGGTTATGGAATCTCTATTCTTAGAGTTTTTTAAGACCTGGCTAGACAAAGTTTTGGCTCAGATGATCTAGTCAGGGCTGGTCCTGTTTTGAGCAGGAGGTTGGAGTAGATGACCTCCTTAGGTCCCTTCCAACCCTAAATTTTTTATGATTCTATAATATACCCATGCCCTTAGTCTCCTACGTAAATTTAATGATTGAAAATATCAGTTGGATGATTCACATACATTTAAAGTTAAACATACAGTGCTTTGCTGGACTGTGTTTTAAATCATTCTGTGCCTCATCTGGGAAGTGATGATAATATGACCGATAGTGCATTCCTTACTACACTTAGTCCACATCAGACCATCAGGGTAAATCAAATAAGCTTACAAGGGCTCAGCTGATATACACCTCTTAAATATAATGCAGTTTACAGAAAGCCCTCCTTCTAAATGAAGCAATATTAAGAAAAAGTCAGTGTGGCACAGGAAAATTATCCTGGACTTTTTTAAAGAGTCCCTTTTGTGTTCCATCCTGCAAGATTGAAAATATAAGATCATTAATTTTCACTCTTTGGAGATATTCACATTTAACATATTTTTTCTTCTTCCCAGAGAAAGTTTTGAGCAGCATACTGTTTTAAAAGAACTGTTTTCCTTCATTACTGTCTGAAATGCTGACCTAAATAGTGCATTCCATCTTTATCTTCTCCTGTGCCGTTGCCAGGTGGCTTTGACTTTCTACGGGAATACCAGTCATCTCCAGTGCCAGACTCTGGTTTAAGCTCCAGCTCCACCTCCTCCAGTATCAGTCTGGGGGGCAGCAGTGGAAATCTTCCACAGATCACCCAAGAGATTGAGGACATGGACACAGCTGTTGAAACAGATGAAAAGGCAAACAAGTTAATTGAGTTTCTGACAACCAGGTAATCAAGATAAGGAGAACTTACCCTTGGTTACATTGCTTCCAGTGTTTTGTAAAATGATCTTGTAAAAGACACAGATGAAAATGATTGAGTTTTCATTTTCTTTTAGTAATTACATTTAGTAATTTCCTTTAGTAATAGACTCCAGTTTCTGTGTTTTTGATACTTGCATCAGAAAAAAGGTTGTTAAAAGCATTACAGTGGCAGTGCTCCTGTAAGAAAGTGCCAGCTGCCAGGATTAAAGAGTTAAATGATTAATAGTATTACACTCCAAGCACAATTAATGGAAGAGGACAGTTTTCTAGCTATAAAAGTGACAGCAGTTTCACAGAGTGCTGTGAGGGGCAATAGTGAGCCTCATTTTATTTGCTGAATAAGACTGGCAGGTCCTTGTCCTGTCCTGGTATTGAAAAGAGTTAGGGCCTGAATCTCATTCTTACTAAATTTGCTTTATACTGCTCTTGTGGAGGAAAGCAGCCTTAAAGTATATAGATTTTGAAAGTGTTGGAATCTAAGCTCTACCCTCCAAAGAGCAGCCACAGGTGGGGCTACACTTTAACTTTCCAGAAGTATACTACTTAACTGCCAGAGTAAAAAGGGGTTGGATTAAGTGGCGGAAAAATCTAGATGATTAATAAAGATAAACCAGCAAAAGTCAGCTTTATACATGGAATTTTGTTAGGTCTAGATCTCATTTGCATTTAGCTTTATTAATTTCTACTGTTATTACTGTTTGGGGGGGGGCACTTGTATTTGGTTTGCTCGCTCTCTCTCTCTCTCTCTCTCTCT